GGGGTTTATACGGTTTAGGGTTTAGTTTACGTTGCCACAACGGGGATATATAGTAAATAATAGGGTTTCCGTAGTATCGTGACTTAATTTGTGGTACCACAATGGGGAGATATTTATAAAGGAAATAATAGGCTTTCCTTTATATGGTAGCTCATGCTAAGTTCCTTAAACAGCAACCCAGGAAATGGGGAGGCGAGGGCCAGGTCATGTCACTGACTCCCGCGGCGCCTGGGCCGAGAGATGGAGGGGTCCGAAACTCCGAACCTCCGAAGCCTTAAACTTAGGGTTTAGGGTTTAGGGTTTAAGGTTTGGCAGAAGCTGAGGTGCCTTACTCCTTCGAACATCGGCTTCACGAATGGTTCCCGCAGCAGCGGGCGCAGTTTCCACTCCACAAAGTTCGAGAGGTGTCCAAGAGATTCGAGCCCCTTCCTGGCAGTTTGCTTTTGAGTTTTGAGCCCCCGGGATAGGGTACTGGGTGCCGGCCCTAAGTCGCTACGCGCCGCCGAAAGTCGCATCAATCTCGCGTCACCCCTTTCGGGAACGTTTTTTGGAGCCATAGGCGTGGCAGCTCTGGTCTCCGGACTGCCGAGGTACGTCCCGCAGAGGTTTCCATTGAACGTGGAGTACCGGGCGCTCCACCCAATGGTCAGGGTGAGCAAGGAGGTGATGCCTCAGAACCAGTCAGTCGAAGCCGAGGAGGTTGGTGGTGATGGCTCCCTGAAGCATAAGCATCCCACGCTGGATCCGACGAAGCCTTTCACTGCTGTGAGTCGCACCCAAGTGGGAAAGCAAGGGGAAGTGGTGCGCCTGCAGATTCGCGGCTACGATCGGGGTCAGTATGATGGATGGTGGGTGACGGAGTACACCCGTCACGGGTCGAGGACGATCCACTGCTTACCCTCTAGTCACTTGAACGCCCTGTCGGGTCCCCTTCCAACGCCGGAGAAGGCAAGGGCGCTTGCCAACTTCCCGATTCTCCAGCGATGGGTCGGCGTGCAGTATCACCCCGAGGCGGGTGCTAAAACTTATATGGGGTAAAAGGCGAAGGCAGACATGTTGCACCTTGCTCCGAGACGGAGATCGAGTCCCACTACGGTGAAATGGCCATCGCCAGGTGCTATGACCTCGCGCCTCGGATACACGAAATAGTCGAAATAGCCTTTCGACAGAGACCCTCAGACAGAAGCTAGCCCATCACGAAGGTCACCGAAAGCCTCTCTGAAATTAAGCAGACCAAACGTGTGCAGAAAGGCCGTGTTTGTGGATAAGACCCGGGCCTTGGATATCGACATGACTGCATCGACTCCACTTCCTGTTTCTGCTGCCTTAAATGAGGCCGGCTGGGCTGGGCTGATGCGTTATCTCGTCTTATCTCACTCTGTCCCATCTCGCCTTGGGTAGCAAGGTCAACGACTAGAAATTTTATCTTTGCATCGCTCGCTCGCTCTCTCGCTCGCTCTTGGCAATGCCCAACTTGAGGCCTGTGAACCCTGCGTGGTCTACAGTTCTGCAGTGCCGTTTCGTAGCCAAGTTTGCTTGAACCCAGAATGCCTTGAAGAACAGCTCCCCGGCGCCAGGGCGAGAAGCAAGCCCCCACCGAATCCAGTGGAGCTGGCAGTCGCCACAACCGGAGGCTCTTGATGGAGCCCCTGCCTCAGCTATCCTGGACTATACCATGCCATACTATACCATACGATACGATACGCAACGATACCATACTGTATACTCTACTGTACTATGCTTTGCGATCGCATCATAAAGGTGCGGCACAGTGCTTCTCACTTTGGTGTTCCATCCCGTGGTGCGCGAGGTACCGGCGGATTCTCAAAAATCCCATCGAGTACATCGAAGCACGACCGTTGGACACAAATATCTTAGAATGGCATTTCGTGATCACTGGAAACCAGGATCCGTACACAGGTGGTGCCTTGTCTAGACTTGTGGAGTTCTTCATTAGATGAGTCCGACTGTGATGGCATCGCAAATTTGATAGTCGGGATGGCTACTCTGGCCCGATCAGAGCCAGCAAGAAGGTTTACATGAAACAGGGCTCTTGCGGCAGCCACTCGCTTGGCCTTGGCAAGTATCATGTCAGTGCGATGAGAGTCCATAACCTTCCGCTTCCTCACGAGCAGCAGAATTATATTACTAGTAAGTGTGATGTTCCTCCTTTCGTGGTATAGCGCTTGTTTTGGTTCGCTGTAGATGCTGCCATCATCTTCTTTTCGCAGGTGGGCAGGTGGCAACAAACATGACCGTGCCATCACCCTTGTGATTACGATCGTGCCAAGAATTTTCTCTGTTCTTGAGCTGTCAGTGCTTGCAGCATGTACTGCTTGTGTGTCAATCGTTATCAACTTTAGCGTGCTTGGCAGCTTTTTGGCTTGAAATGCTTTCCCTCTGCGTTCGATGCCGTCATCATGTACTGGATAGTCATGAAAATCACCATGACCTGACGCTCGTAGAAGGGATCCTTTATGACAGGACTAGATTCGAGGCTTCGGGCCCCTTGACGCACCTTTTCTGGATTATTCGTTGCACGGCGTCCGAGGCAAATACCACGGCGACCTGGATGCAGAGATTTCGTCTCAGCTTTCTGAGATGCCCGGGCATGAACATTACAATGAGCCGGCAGGTCACAGATATGATGGATACCCCCCCCCCCCCACAACAACCGCGTCAATCTTGCCATTACGACGATGAGGATGGATTTTATATGACGATGATTGTGCGATTCTTGTCATGGTCGTCGTCATCCTCAGCTGCGCAACCCTTTCCCCAAAACCAATCAGCATTCCCCTCATCCTGCATAATGATCACATGACCTCGACTCCCTGGCATTGCTCAGAACCTTACTACCACTACCAGCGGAAGCACAATATATTTGCCGGCAGCTACTCTTCTTCATCTAAACCTTAAACCACCCTAAACCCTAAACCCTCAGCGCCTTCATGGTCCGCATCATTGGTTTAGAGATTGGCTAGAGACCTTCCTCAGTGTCATCGGGGTCCCGGGTCCCGGTGGTGGCAGGCTCCCAGATAATGCACCTGCTCTGGCAGTCCTTGTCTTCAAAGCCGACATCCCAAAAATGCTATGGTTGCCACCACCATCAAGATCCTTCTGCCATCATCACCATCATCATCGTCATGATGGGCACCATCGCTCCATCGATTTCTTAACTGCCGAAGGCATCCTGGAGTTTCCGGATGACTTTCCCATGAAGCCTCCGTCGATAAAGCGGCCCGGCTCGGATAGGCCTTTTACATCCGTGGCGCGGGCTTGCTTTCTGTTTTGGGGTTCGAGGCTTCCTTCGCTTCGTTTGAGCATCAGACAGCGGGACGCCACTAGAAGGAGATGCAACCCCGACAGAATCATCATCAGCACCATCAGACCTTGAAAGGTTATGGAGCATGTGTAGAAGAATTGAAGGACCCTGCAAGGCCCACCATCCGAGTCCCAAAAACCCAGGATGTTGACCCCAAGCGGCCGCTTCGAGATCAACAAGCGCATCTGCCTATCAATGAGCGACTTCCACAAGGAGTGCGAACCTCAGATCTTCGAGGCTTCATGTGGGACTTTCCGAAAATTACGGTTCCTTATTTTAGGGGTCCTTATAATGAGGATCCTACTATTTAGGGTACTTTCTTGGGCCAAACCCCCATGTCCCCCAAATGACAGAGAAGAGCGAAAAGAGAAATGACAAGACTATGGTAGGGCGGCACGTAGAGGAAGCTTGGGCGATGTGCGAAGAATCAGCAATATGCATGACAAGAGCCACAGGCATCATGTGACACATCAGAAGCACGATGACCGATGTCGCGACAATGATATTGACGAGTGTGCAATTTTGACGAGCCGGGTGATAGTGATGGGTTCTCTTGTCGTGACGCTTGCGGCGATGTGATGAACGGGAGCATGCAGGATGACAAAAGCGACACGCGCGACGGTAATGATTGGGAGTCAAAAACGGTCACTGTGCAGAAGGTTCAAAGTGACAGTGTTTTTTACAATGCTGTCTTCCGGGTCGTGCTGGTATACACGTGAGTGGTTATGACCATGCCGCTGACTGTGCTGCGCGGGTCATCAGGCTCTGATGTGTGCGCAGCGGTGATGTTGATCAAAATGGGTGTAATGGTGGCATTCAGCCGTCACAGCGGTCGAATGATCACGATTCACGATGATCCCAGTAGCTGTTTTGATCATCATGAGCCCGGTGGTCATTGTTGTCAGATCGGTCACAATGTCAACCATGGTGAGAAAGAGCATATGATAGCATATGCATCATTGTGCCGTCATGGCTGCCATAAGCCCAGTTTGGTTCGGAGCGGCGTCACGCAAATCATGGTGATCATTATAGTCAGTTATAATCGTATGCATGATATTCTCAGCGCTGGTCAAAGACATCGCATTGGCCAGAAAAGCACGACCGTGTTGGTCAGTCACACTGGTCAGAGCAGAAAATGAGAAGCAAGAAATAACATCATGTCTTTCCAAAGATGGCTGTTCGTCGGCAGCCATTCTGGTAGTGGTGTTTGGCCATCGCCATTTGTGAGGATGATTTGATCCTAATCGTCGCGGTTTGTGGATTGCGCCCATAGCGGCCATGGCGACTCTAGCTTCTTGTATGGCCATGGTGACGACGATACTGCTGGTAGGAGTAGCTCGTGTAGTGGTCCAGTCGTATGCTCGCGAAGATGGGCTACACTGATCCTTCCACTTGGTTTGATTCCCGGTGGCTTTAAATTTTTGTGTGGGGTTGTTCCCGAGTGACTTCAGTCACTCTAGCTTCATTCTCACAGTTTGTGGGATGGCCCGTAGCGGCCACGGCCATTCTAGCTGCAGTCTTGCAGCAGTGATCAGCAAGTCCCGGCATCAGGTATGACTAGCACCGGGACGCAAGAGAGAGACAAAGTACCCTTGTGCTGATGCGGAGGGGTCGGGAGGTTCCGAACGATTTTTCTCGGGTCACTCTATCTGCGCTGTTGTAGTCGTCTTGTGCCTTCTTCGGCTAAGGTCTTGGAATCCCAGCTGGACCGTAGAGAAGATACTCATTGGCCTTATGAGCTTCATGTATGAGGACTTGCGCGGTGCAGCATGCTTCTACTCTGGCACTTGCAACTCAAGCTTAGTTGCCCTCCATCTGGTTTCCAGAGCATCTACTGGATTAGAGATATCTGTCAGTCGGGATGCCCGTGGCTTAGCTCAGCTTCGATGTCACATCTAGGAGTTCCCAACTCTACATGTCGAGTTCATTTCCTCCCTAAACCTAAACCCCAAACCCTAAAGCCCTAAAGCCCTAAACCCTAAACCCTCGCGTGGGCCAATGCTCCCCAAACTGTCAGCTGCAGAGCCACCAGCACAACTTGCTTTTGCATCGGCATTCTTTTGTGTGCTTTCGGAGGCCTGGACGCACCTGCGACAGGAAATGTAGCTGCTGATGTGCCTATTTTCGGAGTTTGGGAGACCTCCCAGCTTGTCTTGTTTCTCGTTTTGCTAGGCCCTGCATACCCCACAGACGCTGTCCCCTAGACCCTTGGATCACAGGCCCCAGGCACACCACTTGAACCTCAATGCTATACAAGGACGACGATTAGTACTGGCAGTACTTGTTCGGAGCACGACGCTCGTATTACAGCTGCTGCGGATGACAAGGGGCTACTGCCGCTGCTGCTACTGCCACCACCGCCACCCCACCACCACCATGGATACCAAAATCCCAATGGTCTTTTTTCCAGACGTGGTACGAGTGATCAACCAACTTGTTCACTTGTGGGAGAACAACCCTGCAGCGATTCCGTTTTTATGCTTGCTGTCGTATTTCTAGCATGATACTTTGTTTTGGGTTCTGCTTTTGTTGGCCATGACCAGTAGTCCTATGTCAGTTGGGAGTCCACTCACAGATGCACTGAGAGGAGAACTCCGTCTCCATCGGTTCTATATTGGAGCCTAAAGAGGATCGGCGGAGGTATGCTGCAGCATCAGCATACTTCAACGCTCGGAGCTTAGCTAGGGGTCGACCTTCGATCGATTCTGCTCCACACACCGCAAGTTCGATCCCCGTTTCTAAGTTTCCGAGGCACAGAATGAGATTTATGTGCAGCTGTTCCAAACGCCTGACGAAGCAGAGGAGGCTGTTGACTACTTGCGTGGGATATGCGAAGCGCCTGAGTGTGGCCCGTCAGGAGGACAACATCCGGAAGCTGCGCCGCGTTGCCGAGGGGGAAGTCTCAGAAGCCGATAAGGACTGTGGCTAGCATAAGTGCTTTAATTATTACTGATCAGAACATGCTTTTGGGTTTGTTATGCTATGACTGTAACCAGGAACCCTGAGGAATAATGTGGGTACTTATTCAGCTTTCTGTTGCTCATCTTCCTGGAATGGCCCTGAACCCTAAACCCAACGTGAGCTGTTGCCCTAAACCCTATAACCCCTATAACCCCTAAGCCCTAAACAGTGCACACAGGCATGCCGCTATTGCTTGGTGGAATCTGGCGAGTTGGTGGCCCCATGCGACTCTGGGTTCTCGTTGGGAAGTTGTTTTCAGTCTCTACTGGGCGCTTTAGGGCTTAGAATTTTCGGGTTTTCGGTTTGAAGTTTGGGGTTTAGGGTTTGCTATAAGGATCTTCAGTAGATGCTGGTAATATGGTTTCCTTATTAGGGTAACTTAACCAAGAAGAACGCAGGAATGCAAGGGCAGTGGCCAATGGGTGCACCTGAGCTGTTTGCGACAGTGGCAGAAATCAGTGCTTCTGACGCAGTCCACGCATCCGAAGTACCAGACTCGCATCGACGAAATCTGCACCTCTGTGGCATTCCCGGTTGCTTCAGGCTTAGTTTGTGAGAGTTTCCGTCCGGCTTTTGCTGCTGTCTGGTTGGGATTGAAGAAGACGAAGCAAGAAGAAGAAAAGCTGGGATGCAAAAGCAATGAGGGCCGAAACAGCACACAAAAGGAAGGTGAACCTGAATCTGGCCACGATGATGACCTTGTGTGGAATTGAAGTTCAACATGTGCTTCCTGCTTCCTTCGCACGTGCTGCACCAAAGTAGCGCTGTGCACGGCTCTGTTCGTCCGACCGGCTTTTTGGTGTGTCTCTATATCTCCTTTCCGTTCATTGCACAAGCTGCTGCGGCCTCGTGTTCGCTTTGCGGGAACTTTCGGGTGCTTCAGTGCTGGCATTCTGTCTTGCTGTCGTTATCTGCCCGACAACCCTAATGCGAACGATGTAGACCCAACGCAGGCTATCTCGAAGCTCGGCATTGCCCCATCAAAGGCGAAGCTGCAACTTTACCCTCAACTCACTGCTCCCTCAGCCCTTTTCAGCACCATCTTGCGAGCCGCCTTGCCTAAAGTTCCCCTCTTGCGCGCGCAGAGCCCGACGAGCCTCCCAGGCAACGTCTGCGAGCGGCCCTTCAAGGAAGCCTACAAGCCTAGGAGCCGGCGTGAGGCGCGGGAAAGCGGCTGCTAAGGTTGAGAGGAAATCGGGGGTCGTTTTTTGTAGGTAGGGTCCTTTTTTTCTTGGTTTCCTACAAAGGGACCTGTTTGTTTTTTTTAAATTGGGGTTCCTACAAAGGGACTTGTTTTGTAGAGAGCTACCCCATGTGATGGCATCAGGGCCCCATATTCTGGATTCTCGTGGAGGGTTGGGAGCCCACCTCGCATGAGGGCGCCTGAGTGGTCCACCCTTCAGTGTTAAGTGCCCAAGTTTAGCTATTTTTGGCGATTTCTGCTTCTTCTGCGGCTCTTGTTGTTGTTGTTGTTGCTGCTGCTGGTGCTGAGCTGCAGCGCATGCGATAGCTGGCAAGTCTTTGGCCATTCTGTCGAGAGGCGCTTCTGGAGTACACGGGGGAGGCTGGGCAATGCATACCGGAGTCGCAGTATCGAGGGGAGTTGCACTGATGCCTGAAATCCAACCCCGAAGCCCTCGACGCTAACCCCAGAAACAGCGACCCTGGGCTCACTCACATGGCCCATGGGCTATGATGACAGTTCTGGAGGTTTGCCGTACGTTCAGGCGCGTTATCATGAGCACCCCTACTTCGGGCTGCAGCTAACTGGAGGTTTACTTGCGTCACCGACATTAGGAAGAAGTCCACTTTTTGTGCCCTGCTTCCAAGGAGCTTCCCCAGCTGATCCAGAAAGGAAACCTCTTGGCGTCGCTTCGGATGATTTACTGGGTTCTTGATAAGGAAGTTAATTTTGTTAAGTTACCATAACACGGACCTATAGTAAATAATATGGCCGCCTTACAATTTACAAGGAAGCCATATCATTCACTATGGATACTGATGATAGTAACTTAAATTAAATCCCCTAACAAGAAGCCAGTTTACTGGGCCTGAAGCTGTGGACGCTGTTCTGGTAGTGGGACCTCCGGTCAGGGCTTCAGAATTAAGTAGATCACTTATTAGGTTATATCACATGTCATTGCATTACATTATATCATATTATGTTACACTTTGTTGTGTTTTGTATTAAGTTACATATCTTGTATTGTGTTACATTATGTTAAATTATAGTATATTACAGCACAGCACAGCACAGCACAGCATAGCATAGCATAGCATAGCATAGCATAGCATAGCATAGCATGGCATAGCAAA